AGCAGCGAGCGTAAAATAGACAGCGGCAGGCAGGCAGGCCAGCGAGCAAAACACCGCGGCAAGCAGCGAGCGAAGCGAAGACGACGGGGCGGCGGGCGACGGCAACTGAAACAGTCTGCGCTGCGCGCGAGGGCAGCAAGAGCTAAAACACGGGCAGGCAAGCAGCGAGCTAAAACAGGCCGGCGCAGCAGCGGCTGAAAACACGGCTGCGGCAGCAGCGACTAAAACATCAGGCGCACGTCAGCAGCGAGCCTAAACATCGGGCAAGCAGCAGCACGAGCTAAAACAGGCGGCGGCAGTAGGCAGCGAACTAAGACACGGCGGCGGCAGCCAGCGGAGCTGAAAGTACACGCGCGGCGAGCAGCGAGTTGAAGACCACGGGCGGCAAAGCAGCAGCGGAAGCTAAAACACGCGGCGGCAGCGAGCTAAAACACGAGCGGCGGCGGCTGCGGAGTTAAAAACGGCGCAGCAGCAGCGAACTAAACACAACGGCTCTGCGCAGCGAGCTAAAACACGCGCGGCGGCCGGCAGCGAGAGAAACAGCGGTGGCGCAAGCAGCGAGCTAAAACACGCGTAGCAGCAGCAGCAGCACAGAGCGAGCTAAACACGGAGGCGAGCGAGCGAGCGGAGGTCTAAAAACACTGGTCAGCAGCTGTGAGCTATAAACATTCGGCGGCGACGTACAGCGAGCTAAAAGACTGGTGGCGCAAGCTAGCGAACTAAAACACGGCACAGCAGCAGCAGCAGCAGTCAGCTGACTAAGGAAACATGGCGGCCGGCGGCAGGTCGAGCTAAAACAGTCCGCAGCAAGCGAGGTGAGCTAAAACAGGCGGGCCGGCAGCAGCGGCGAGCCTAATAACAGCGGCACAGCAGCAGCACGGAGCTAAAACACGACAGCAACACAGCGAGACATAAAACCGGCGGTCAGAGCAGCGAGCTTAAAACACGGATAGCGACTAAAACACGGCGCCATGCGAGCGGCAAGCAGCGATCTAAAACCACGGCGACAGGGCAGCGGAGCTAAAAACACGGCTAGTACCGGCACCGGGGTCGGCGGCAGCAAAGCGTACTAACTAAAACCAGACGCGCGCAGTCAGCAGTGAGCTAAAACACGGCCTCACAGCACCACGCAATGGAGCTAAAACGACGGCGAGCAGCAGCGGCTAGAGAACACGGCAGCAGCAGCGAGCTAAAACACGGCAGTAGCAGCGAGGCTAAACACGGCGGCAGCAGGCGAGCTAAAACACCAGCAGCAAGCTAGCAGCGAGCTAATAACACGGCGCAGCAGCCAGGCGACTAAAACCGCGGCAGCAGTGAGCTTAACACACGGCGGTCTAGCCATCTGACTAACACACGGTTGCTGGCAGCGGAGCCTAAAACAGCGCGCGCAGCAGCGAGCTAACCACTTCGGCGGGCGGCAGCCGAGCTAAAACATCCGAGCATGTCATCGAGCTAAAACAGCGCGTGGCCAGCAGCCAGCGAGCTATAAACATCGGGGGGCACGGCGGCAGCAGCAGCGAGCTAACGACATGGCGGCAGCAGTCGACTAAAACACGGTTGCCTGAGGCGCGAAAGCTAAAACACGGGGCGGCAGCGAGCGAGCGGTAAAAGACTAAAAAACACACAGCTAAAACACGGCCGGCACAGCAGCGAATAAACACGGCGCCCGGCCGAGCTAACACACGGCGGAGAGCAGGGTCGTTTACTGCAAGTCGAGCGAACACACCGCGAGAGCGAGCGTAGAAGAGGAGCGGAAAAACAGAGGGAACATCGGCGGGCAGCGAGCAGGGAGCTAAAGACACGGCGGCAGCAAGGCGATAGCTAAAGAACACGGCAGCAGCAGCAGAGCTAAAACGGACGGCGGCACAGTCACCGGAACGTAAGAAGCATCGGGCGGCAGCAGCAGCGAGCTAAAACAGAGCACAGCACATTCAAGCAGGTAAACTAGAGAGAACAGGCGGCAGGCAGCAGCGAGCTAGAAGACACAGCAGCAGCGAGCAGCGAGCTAACACACGGCGGCAGCACAGCGACCTAGAAACAGCAGGAGCAGCAGCAGAGCGACAGCGAGCTAAAACAGGGCGCAGCGAAGCAGCAGCAAGCGAGCTAATAGACACGGGCGGGCAGCAGCGAGCTAAAAACACAGCAGCAGAGCAGCGCAGCGTAAACACACGGGGCAGCAGCAGCGAGCGCTAAGAACAGGCGCATCAGCAGCAGCAGCGAGCAGAAACGACCGGCGTAGCAGGCAGTCAGCAGCGAAGTCTAAACACCGCCCGGCCAGCAGGCGGAGCTAAAACACAGCAGCAGGCAGCAGGCGAGCTAAAACAGCGGCGGCAAGCAGCGAGCTACAAAACACGGTTGGCTGCAGCCAGCGAGCTAAACCGGCGGCGCAGCAAGAGATAAAACACGGTGCTGACAGCAGCGAGCCTAAAAACGCGGCGCAACAGAGCGAGCTAAGACCCACGAGCGCAGCAGCCGAGCTAAAAAACGGCAGCAGCCAGCGAGCTTAAAACACGGCGCGGCAGCAGCGAGCTAAAACACAGCAGAGCAAGCTAGCAGCGAGCTAAAAACACGGCGGCAGACAGCGAGCTAAAACACGGTTGCTGCAGCAGCGAGCTGAAAAACGACCGGCGGCGGCAGCCGAGCTAAAACAGCGGCAGGCAGAGCAGCGGAGCTAAAACAACCACGGTGTGCTGGCAGCAGCGGAGTGAAAACAGGCGGCAGGCAGCAGCGAGATAAGACAGCGGTTGGCGTGCACGCAGCGAGCGTATGAAACGGCGGCGCCAGCAGCAGCGGAGCTAAGACACGGCGGCAGCAGCGAGCTAAAACAGCGGCCAACAGCATCCGAGCTAAAAGACGCGTAGGCAGCGAGCTCAAAAACGTTGCTGGCAGCAGCGAGCTAAAGACACGGCGGCGCAGCGAGCTAAAACGACGAGCAGCGAGCAGCAGTCAGCGACTAAAACACGGCAGCAGCAGCAGCGAGCTAAAACACGGTTGCTGCAGCAGCGAGCTAAAACACGGCGGCAGCAGCAGCGAGCTAAAACACGGTTGCTGCAGCAGCGAGCTAAAACACGGCGGCAGCAGCAGCGAGCTAAAACACGGCGGCGGCAGCGAGCTAAAACACGGCGGCGGCAGCGAGCTAAAACACGGTTGCAGCAGCAGCGAGCTAACACACGGCGGCAGCCTACATCAGTAGAACAGCTAGATATTAAATACTACCACTGATTAATATTCTCGTTGCTACTAATTTAGTCACCTGACAGACCACTTAGCTACGATCCGACATAAGTAATACAGCGCCTGCGATGTTTAAGGATACTGTCAGGGTTACCGACCGGTAACACTGTAAAGGGCATTGCAACATAACTGCTCATCAAATTCAATCAAACTCATATCCATTACATAAGAGAGATGTGTAGGAAAGCGCCAGTTCCCATTAGTCTATATTAGTTCGCATTCTATAATAGTTCGCGGCACGAACGCAATCACAATAAACCACTTCCATCACATATAATGGTGATTCCGCCGCGATGCCCACCTGGCCCGTCTCTAGGGACCAGAGACTTGTTGACGCCTAATGCGCAAGTAGGGACTCTCGGCTCTCATTTTTTAGGCAGCACGGTTCAGTTTTCACCTAGCTCCTACACCCTATCCCAGCCACACTTTTCCGCTTCTCCGTTCTGCCTTGGTATTCTCGCACCAGTCCTCTTAACTATCTTCACGTATCCTTTCACGTATCCTCACGTATCCTCTTACGTATCTTCTGCCTGCCGTCTTCACCCCGGCCGAGCGTCTCAGGGAATATCCGCGATAAGGTACGAGATTATTGTTAGTCGGTTACATTTCTGTGTGTGTAGTCATATGTGTAGTCTCCTATGTAGTACGTAGTAGAGAGAATATTCTGTGGAGTAATACAACAAACGGAGAGTAGCGTTACATTTCTGAGTTCGTGTTATCTATATCTGTGCTATCTATCGCGGACTCTATCGACGCAACCTGATGCTACCCGTAAGGGGACTTTCCACATGCTAAACCGTAAAGCCTGGATCGGGAAGAGAAACACGTCCTTAGAGATGTCTCTCTACGCTCGCGATGGGAATTATTTTTTTAAATCATTGCTAATTAAGTGACGGCAATAATTGTGAATTTATACAAAAAAAATTTTTTGCTATTTTCCAGAAACAGCAGAGTTGGGACATAAACTTTTAACCATAAGTTGTTTATAATATGAACTAAAAAACGTCCCTGGAATTTTTTTTAAATGTTTTAATTTAGGATTTAAGTTGAAAAAAATGTACGACAATTTTTAGTGATTTTCAAAACGCAATAATTTCGTAAATAAAGAGTCATAACTTATTTGTGAGTTTTCACGTGGGATCAATGAGATATTAGCTGGAATAGGTAGAAAGTAGAGTAAATATTAGCTTTTGCTCAGACATTTTCTAACATTCACATTTGTTTGACAGTTTCAGATCAAGAAAATTAAAATAACGTTAACATCTACAAACAAACAACAAAGATTAATATCTACCTAGCCTACCCACCGCAATCTAAGATGTCGTAGATAATTATATTCTAATATATTCTTGCTTGTTTTTAATTAGGCAAATTTGATATCGATAACCACAGCGCCTTTTTGAGCGCAAGCGTCTACGGGAAACTATACCTGGATAGTGCGTCCCGGTTCAACGAAAACCTAAGGAATCGTTTGAACAACATTATAAATACAACGTCCGTGGTAACCATTAATGACCTTAAGGGTAAGCTCTAGCCGATTTTCCTATTAAAATAACGACGCTCTGCAGACTAAATCTTTGTGTAATTCAAATTCTGCGAACGATTAAGTGGGAATTCAGGTATCAGCCATAGGTGGTGGTTTTCTCTCGTAATTAGCTTCCTTCCCTATTATGATCGTAATTGGTTTTTTTCGCGGTTTCGTATTCTGTCCTTCCGTCAGCTATTAAACATTTTAGCGTACACGCAGTACACTATACCAAACAATTATAACTAAACATAGTAGCGCAACGTTAATTGTGTTGTTATTGTGACGTTATATGTATCCGAAGTCTAACCAATTAACAGTTTGAAATCTTGTATTTTGATGTAGAAAGATTCTAACTTTTATATTTGTTATTTGATTCGAAATATTATTTGACAATGACTGGCTCTGTGTATGTCACGACTGTCCTTATAAAAATGCTTTGATGAGCATGCGAATCTGTAGAAAATAATTAACACTGTGCACTGTATACACGTAGATGGCTAGACATAGCATCATCGGTTGTGCTTTAGGCAAATCGAACTTAATTATTCCTTTGGCTTCCCAGAAAATCTTACGATAAATGTGTTCCAACCACCCAATCTTGACGACGGACTTTTCTGGTTCAACAGTATGACAGTGTTCATCAACTTCTTATCGGAACAGGAGACTCGTGTTGGTCAAGAGATTCTTGATCAACTTAAGTATGAGGCGATGTGGTTAAGTAACAAAAAGGTTAGTTTGAAACCGGAAAAGTATGTAGGGCCTATGTATGTGTGGATGTAGGTATGTGTGTGCATGTGTGTGCGTGCGTGCGGGTGAGCGGGCGTGCGTGCGTACATACATACATACGCATACATGTATTACGTACGTATGCATGTGCATGTCTCTCTCTCGCTCTCGCTCTCTCTCTCTCGCGTTCCCTCTCTCTCTCTCTCTCTCTCTCTCTCTCTCTCTCTCTCTCTCTCTCTCTCTCTCTCTCCCTCTCTCTCTCTCTCTCTCTCTCTCTCTCTCTCTCTCTCTCTCTCTCTCTCTCTCTCTCTCTCCCTCTCTCTCTCTCTCTCTCTCTCTCTCTCTCTCTCTCTCTCTCTCTCTCTCTCTCTCTCTCTCCCTCTCTCTCTCTCTCTCTCTCTCTCTCTCTCTCTCTCTCTCTCTCTCTCTCTCTCTCT